TTTTCTCTCTCAAATGCCCCTCCAGAGGCTGGGTGATATGTGTCAGATCAACACTCACCAACTCACCAATTGGAATTTCCCACCTGGGAATTATCAGAGTCATCAAAGCCTTCGCCACTGCTGCTGCATCCTGTTTAGCTGTGGGAAAAGCTTCAACCCATTTTGAAAACATGCACACAATCACCAAAACAAACGTTTTTTTTTTTTTTTTGTTGTTAGTTCAATGATATCCATTTGCAAGTGATCAAAAGTATTAGTATAAAAAGGTATACTATGAAGTATAGGAGGACAGATCACACATCTTTTGTAAAACTCTGTGGCATAACTGGAAAACCCTCTTGTAAACCAGTATCTCCGTATCTCATCAACCATTCCCCCCTTTGACACGTGGTCCAAACCATGTGTCAATTTAGCAAAGAAATGGAAAAGATAGCGAGGGAGACAGGGCAGGCCATCGGGGCCCGTCCACACTTTAACATCCACAGTACATCCTGCTTTTTTCCAAACGGCCTTCTCCGCCGGAGAGGCCCTTATCTGCAGGTCTGTTATCTCAGCCGTAGCCACGACTGTAGGAGTAGAAGCAGGGGTTAGTGAGGCGACATGCAAGGCTAAAAACAACGGCAGCTTTGAGGCCGCTTTTGCAGTGTTAGTGTGAGCTTCACATTACACACAGCAATTTGTTTTGGCAGCAGCACAGCATCCAAAAGAGCAGACACAACATATGATGAGCAATAGTTTTCCCCGTTAAAGTTAAGAAATCCCTATTCTTCCAAATTTGTCCAAAATCATGAACCACACTCCAAGCATATCTGCTGTCTGTGTAAATATTTACAGATTTGCCCTCTGCCAGTTTACATGCCTCTGTCAGAGCCACCAATTCAGCCGCTTTAGCTGAATGTGAGGATGACAAAGGATGTTCGATCACTGTCTCCTGCTGTGTTGTGACGACAAAACCTGAAACATTTTTACCAGTGCTAGGGTCTCTTGAAGCTGATCCATCTACAAAAATTCAAATCAGCGTTGGCAATCAGTGTGTCTCTCAAATCTGGCCTGGGAGAGCAAGCAGAATTTATCACAGCTACACAGTCATGTGTGTCAACTGCAGCAACACTATCATGTTTAGATGAAAAATAAGCTACAGGTCGTTGTTTCCCCCCGTGTTCTTGTAACAGTACAGAAGTCATGTACCCACCCTTTTCGTCAACAGTCTGGGTAAATGGTTGTGTACAGTCAGGCAGTCCAATTGTAGGAGGTGTTTGCAAAGAAAGTTTCAAATCAACAAAAGATTTCTCTGTGTCAGGAGTCCAAATGACACAATCAGATGGTTTCAGGCCTTTCCCATGAACAATTGCTGCTAATGGTGCCTCAATTTCAGCATAATTAGGAAGAGATCACGTGACCCAGGAATGTGACCTCTTTTACAACAAACTGTAGCTTTGACAGGCTGGCTTTATGGCCCTGTTCAACCAAATGAGTCAGCAAGGCGAGAGTGTCTTTAACACAGCCCTCTCTGGTTTCACTCGCAACCAAAATGTCATCAACATACTGCAACAAAGCACTTCCTTTAGGCAGTACAGGAGTTTCCAAACTATCTCTCAAAGCAGAATTTCAAATCAAAATGCAAACCAGAATTGACTCTTGGTGTACTGGAACAGTCAAAAAAAGCATTTGACAGATCAACAACTGAAAACCACTCGCTATCAAAGTGGAACACACAGAGTGAGTGAAGCGCGTTTTTGTTTTTTCCTTATTTCCTTTTTGCAAGTCGTGCGTGCTTTCGGGTAAAAGGGAAAAAAAATTCCTTTAAAGTGATAAGTTTGTGCATTTTTTGAGATTGATTTTTGCTTCCACAAATTTGATTTACTTCTAATAAGAAAACTTTGATTGAGTTTGATTACAGTGGGATCTGGACAGAGCAATACCTCAAAAGGGAAAACTGAGCCTGATTATGGCGCTCCCAACGTGAGATTTATGGAGATTAATTATGGAAAGGAGAGCGTGGCTCAGTTAGATCTGTGGGTCAATAAGTGCTCTTTCCTGAGAACAGGCAGCCTGAGTGTTAAACAGCTCGAGGCTTCAGAGGTGAGTTTGACAGACTTACAACCCCTGGCAAAAATTATGGAATCACCAGTCTTGGAGGATGTTCATTCAGTTGTTTAATTTTGTAGAAAAAAAGCAGATCACAGACATGACACAAAACTAAAGTCATTTCAAATGGCAACTTTCTGGCTTTAAGAAACACTAAAAGAAATCAAGAAAAAAAATTGTGGTAGTCAGTAACAGTTACTTTCTTAGACCAAGCAGAGGGAAAAAATTATGGAATCACTCAATTCTGAGGAAAAAATTATGGAATCACCCTGTAAATTTTCTTTCCCAAAACTAACACCTGCATCAGATTAGATCTGCTCGTTAGTCTGCAGTTAAAAAGGAGTGATCACACCTTGGAGAGCTGTTGCACCAAGTGGATTGACATGAATCATGGCTCCAACACGAGAGATGTCAATTGAAACAAAGGAGAGGATTATCAAACTCCTTAAAGAGGGTAAATCATCACGCAATGTTGCAAAAGATGTTGGTTGTTCACAGTCAGCTGTGTCTAAAATCTGGACCAAGTACAAACAACATGGGAAGGTTGTTAAAGGCAAGCATACTGGTAGACCAAGGAAGACATCAAAGCGTCAAGACAGAAAACTTAAAGCAATATGTCTTGAAAACAGAAAATGCACAGCAAAACAAATGAGGAATAAATGGGAGGAAACTGGAGTCAACGTCTGTGACCGAACTATAAGAAATCGCCTAAAGGAAATGGGATTTACATACAGAAAAGCTAAACGAAAGCCACCATTAACACCTAAACAGAAAAAAACAAGGTTACAATGGGATAAGGAAAAGCAATCGTGGACTGCGGATGACTGGATGAAAGTCATATTCAGTGATGAATCGCAAATCTGCATTGGGCAAGGTGATGATGCATGAACTTTTGTTTGGTGCCGTTCCAATGAGATTTATGAAGACGACTGCCTGAAGAAAACATGCAAATTTCCACAGTCACTGATGATATGGGGCTGCATGTCAGGTAAAGGCACTGGGGAGATGGCTGTCATTACATCTTCAATAAATGCACAAGTTTACGTTGACATTTTGGACACTTTTCTTATCCCATCAATTGAAAGGATGTTTGGGGATGATGAAATCATTTTTCAAGATGATAATGCATCTTGCCATAGAGCAAAAACTGTGAAAACATTCCGTGAAGAAAGACACATAAGGTCAATGTCATGGCCTGCAAATAGTCCGGATCTCAATCCAATTGAAAATCTGTGGTGGAAGATGAAGAAAATGGTCCATGACAAGGCTCCAACCTGCAAAGCTGATCTGGCAACAGCAGTCAGAGAAAGTTGGAGCCAGATTGATGAAGAGTACTGTTTGTCACTCATTAAGTCCATGCCTCAGAGACTGCAAGCTGTTATAAAGCCAGAGGTGGTGCAACAAAGTACTAGTGGTGTGTTGAAGTGTTCTTTTTTTTGTTTGTTTTTCATGATTCCATAATTTTTCCCTCAGAATTGAGTGATTCCATAATTTTTTCCCTCTGCTTGGTCTAAGAAAGTAACTGTTACTGACTACCACAATTTTTTTTCTTGATTTCTTTTAGTGTTTCTTAAAGCCAGAAAATTGCCATTTGAAATGACTTTAGTTTTGTGTCATGTCTGTGATCTGCTTTTTTTCTACAAAATTAAACAACTGAATGAACATCCTCCAAGACTGGTGATTCCATAATTTTTGCCAGGGGTTGTAGAAAGAAGGGGATTGGAAGTTTAGAAGTAAGGTCAAGTTTCAGACAGACTGGTCAGCTTTTAGTAGTTGGGTGAGGTAAGCCAAGCATAGGCAGGGCTCCAAAGGTTTCCCAAAGCTGTATTCGGACCTCGACTCGGCACAACCTGAACGGCCTCCACCGTATGTTGAACACCACGAACCAGAGGGAGCAGCTGGCCTCTCTGAATCAGCTCTGCTTACAGAGACATTGTTCTTCGGCTGATGACAAGATTGAAAATGGAGTTCCCTGTTCGTTTGGACTGGGAAAAGTGGTGGCGGTTAAGCAGGATGCAAATGAAACTGTCTCTGCTCATCTATACCGCCTGAGACAAGCAGCGATGCAGTATGGTGGACTGACCGAACTAGAGGAAAGTCAAAAGGAGGACACAAAGACATTATAAATTTTGCAAATTGTTCATAAAAACTCCCAGAAGACAAAAACACAGTGTTTGGTTTTTTATCATGTTTTTTTTTTTTTTAATCTATTTTTGACATGGTTTGTAGTTTTTGTGTTTTAAAGAGAAGCTGGCACGAATATTCTCCCTGTCTGAAATTAATCCACTCTGGACTTCTCAGTTTTTAAAACCACATCAGCTGTTTGATAAGTAGCAGGAAGCTGCTGCGCAGGAGTGTCAGGGTGTGTTTTCATATTTCTTATTGGCCCTAAATATTCCAGCGTCGGCCGACCTGTCGTCAGGAGAGAAGAGTTATTAATATTTAATGATCCATGTGTTTAACCTGCAGGTGATTCTGTCCACCAACATCGCAGAGACGAGCATCACCATCAACGACGTCGTCTACGTCATCGACTCCTGCAAGTAAGCATGTGAGGTCAGAGTGGGATTTGACCACCTCCCAGTTTAAAGATCAAACTGGTCTGATGTGTGTTTGGTGTCCTGACAGGCAGAAGGTGAAGCTCTTCACCTCCCACAACAACATGACCAACTACGCCACCGTCTGGGCCTCCAAGACCAACCTGGAGCAGAGGAAGGGTCGAGCTGGCAGAGTGCGGCCAGGCTTCTGCTTCCACCTCTGCAGCCGCGCTCGATTCGATAGGTAAGACCCCCCGACACCTCCTCGCTCCTCCTCACTGCTCCTTACTCCTCCTCAGTCTGCACCAGGTTGTGTTGTTGATCGTGTCCTAACACTAGAGTTGGGTAAAAGTTCAGGTTTTGCCGTTCTGGTCTGGTGTACGAGCTAAACCGGCTCATGACACGTTCTTGCAAATTTTAAGTCTCCTACATCATCAACCTGTGCCGATGACATCACAGCACTAAATCCAACATGTGGGCCGATGTCACCAACATGGAGGAGATCACATGTCAGTCGAGGTGGGAGAGGCAAAGCGGTGCACGAGATGTTTGTTGACAACAAGGCTTGCGTGTTTTATGTGATGAGAGGAGACATGACATGAAAACTGAAAAACTGTGACGCCACAGTCTGACGCTTGTTTGCTGTCAGGACACGGTGTCACGTTCCACTGCGAGCAGGGACACCTGGTAAAGATCCGGTATAGTGGTCCGGCCCTGTGTTCGGCTTCATATCAAACTAGATTGGAAATGTTTACAGCAGCCCGACTGTACCTAACAAACGTGTGTGTTGTGTGTGTGTGCAGGCTGGAGACTCACATGACTCCAGAGATCTTCAGGACTCCGCTGCATGAAGTCGCTCTGAGCATCAAACTGCTGAGACTCGGAGCCATCGGACACTTCCTGTCCAAGGCCATCGAGCCACCGCCGCTGGACGCTGTCATTGAGGCTGAACACACTCTGAAAGGTACAAGACACACACACACACACACACACACACACACACACACACACACACACACGACAGTGGCTGCATTATAACTGGACCACCCTGAAACTCTGGTCTGTGTTAAAGACATCTGAGCCCTTTTTAATAACACTTTCAGCTCGTTAAGTTCGCAGAAATAAGTCAAACTGAATTTTCAAACCTTCTCTCATAAATAATCACAAAGCGATTTTATAAATGATAATTTTTATATCTTAGAAATGGAATAAACATCAGAAATGTTTCAGAGGGTTTGTTTTGTTTTTAATTATAAACATTTTTACTCTGTGTGTTTGTTTGTGTGTCAGAGCTGGATGCTTTGGACTCTAACGATGAACTGACTCCTCTTGGACGAATTCTGGCTCGACTGCCCATCGAACCTCGGCTGGGGAAGATGATGATCATGGGCTGCATCTTCCAGTCAGTTTGTCCTCCTCCTTCTTCTTCTTCGTCTCCTTCTTCTTCTTCTTCTTCTTTCATAGATGTGTAATAATAACTAGATACCAGATGTCAAGATGGCGCTCATTCATTCCAGTTGCTCTGTGGCGTGTGGCCCACTGAGTCTGCGCAGTAGTGTCTCTCCCGCTGGCTCCGCCCATGAGTTTCCTCTTGGCTCATAGACTTTACACTATGATGACATCACAGATTTTTAAATTGCTGTTCTTGGCTTGAGGAAAGTTTCCTACTAACTGACCTCCATGGATCAAAAACTCACTACAGAAAGAATCATCACTGAGCTTGTTTGCAGTCAGAAGTGTCCTGTCAGTTTTATCCAGTCCAGCTTCATTTCTTAAGCACCTTGAAAACAACCACAGCTGAAACAAAGTGCTGTACATCAAGAATAGATAGAATATTAAAACATAGGACAGAAAAACAAACATTAACACAACGAATCAAAACAATAAAATACAACTACAAAGTTCAATGTGACACAAGTGGAAACAACAGTCATACCATAAAAGCAATTTTATTTTGCTGCAATACTGCGAGTGGCCACGGGGAGAAGCTCTCCTGGAGGCATGTCTTCTTCTGTCTGCTTTTTTTGTTCTTCTCCTTCTGTCTTTCCTCTGTATGTCTTCTTCTGATGTCTCATCTTACATCCTGTGTCCTTTAATAAAAAATGTGTCCCCCTCCAGTGTTGGAGATGCCATGTGCACCATCTCGTCCGCCTCGTGTTTCCCGGAGCCTTTCGTCAGCGAGGGAAAACGTCTCGGCTTCGTCCACAGAAACTTTGCCGGCAGCCGCTTCTCCGATCACGTGGCCCTGCTGTCCGTCTTCCAGGCCTGGGACGACGTCAGGTCGGTCAGCTGTTATCATGTAGTTTGTTTTCACTGTAAGTTTAGTTCAGTTCTTACAAAATAGCAGCTCCAGATCAGAAGAAAGTCCCCGTGAACGTGCACGCCACGAGCACGTTGGTAACATGAGACAAACTGCAGCAGGTGGTGTTATAGTCTTAGATGCAGTAATGTGCTGATGAAGGTCGACTCCACCTTCACAGGTATTTTTTAAAAACGCATCGAACAGCACTAATCCTCTCTGAGCAGAAGAGATATTAACCCCTTGTTGTTGTTGTTCAGGGTTAACGGCGAGGAAGCAGAAAACCGTTTCTGTGAACACAAACGTCTCAACATGTCGACTCTGAGGATGACCTGGGAGGCCAAAGTCCAGCTGAAAGAGATCTTGGTCAACGCAGGATTCCCTGAAGGTACGTGAACGCACCTCAGAGGGAGTGTCTGCCTGTTTTAATGAGAGTAATGTTAAGGCGTCTCTGTCCTCCTGTGTCCCCGTCAGAGTGTCTGATGACTCAGATGTTCAACACCGTGGGACCAGACAACAACCTGGACGTGGTGGTTTCTCTGCTGACCTTCGGCTCGTACCCGAATGTCTGCTACCACAAAGAGAAGAGGAAGATCCTGACCACCGAGGGGCGCAACGCCCTCATCCACAAATCCTCCGTTAACTGCCCCTTCAGCAGCCATGACATGACCTACCCATCCCCGTTCTTCGTCTTCAGTGAGAAGGTAAAAAGAGGTCATCCTCACAGCAAAGTGAAGTGTAATATTTTTGGATAACTTCATTTAAAAAGGTGAAATAAAGCAGCTGTGTTCCATCGTCAGATATTATTTTCTTCAGAAACTTTAATGAATAATTTATTAATAACAAAAATAAATAAATATATTGGATGTTGAAATACATCAATGATTTGTAAATTCTTTTCAGCGTATGTTCAGTTAATCCACTCCGAAGATATTTAATGTTTAAATAAATTAAAACTTTAAACTTTAAATATGCGTAATTGTTTTTTGTAAAAATACATTCAGTCTGATTTTAATGCTGCAACACGTTATAATACTGTTTGGACCGGAGCAACAAAAGATAGCGGAAAGTGTGAAATGCTCCAAAAAATATAATTTAACAACAGATTCAGATTCAGCTCAGTAACAAGTGTCGGGCTTCACAGACTAAACTACTGTTTTTAGCTCGTCACACATTAGCCTAGCGCCTAGCAGAGTTTGTTCCCTCTATCACTCCCTCGGGGAATTAAACGACACCATTGGTTTTCAGTTACTGATGGATTTATTTTCATTTCTCCGCCCTTCATCACCGTCATCAAATCCACCATCAAACTGTTCAAATATATGACAATTTACAGAATGACAACATATTAATATTATTTACACGCTGTAGAAACATGACAGTAAAAATGCACAATAAACATACAGTAAATCCCAAAATGAAACATACCTCGCTGGCTGCACACACCTGAGAGGGAATGAGTCCACTTGAGCAAAATATAAAAATGAAAACTTCAAAAAACGACAATAAAAGTTACTGCTTCTTCTTTTGTCCGATAATGAAATGTACCTTAAACTCTTAACTTTCTCCGCTCTCAACTCCTTCTTGGAGGAGATTACAACCGCAGCATCTCATATAAACATCATGCGCAACACCCAAAAGCGTCCCCTGCGCAACACAATACACACCCAGTACCTCTGCAGTCCTTATACAAACCAAAATCGAAATTCAGGGAAATAAACCATTTAAATAATATATGTAAACAAAACATATTAAATAATATTTGTGGCAGTTAAACCCTCTACTCATTCTCAACAAATTACATGTACTGTCATTATTTTTCTTCCTCCTCGATGGTTTAAGTCTCTGCGTCTCCTCACAGAACAGCTCAGGTGAATTTCAGCCTGCACATTTTTTCAGTCGAACATTGTTCAAACAGCAGCTGATGTTGCTGCAGTGAGAAGTTAGCGGAGCGACATGTCGTCCAAGCAGCTACGTCGTGTTTTATCTCATTAACGGCATTGTTCACATACGCCATGTGTTCTGTCTGTCGACCATTTTTTCTCCAAAATCAAATTATTTCCACTGCTGATTTATTCCTGAGTAAATATCCTCATCGTCTTCCTCTGGGCTGCTCGCCGTCTGCCTGCTGCTGTTTGACAGTGACAGACTTTCAAAATAAAAGCGTAACCTGAAGAAGTTGATATGGGTAGAGTCACTTTTCATTGATGATACTTGATCGTTGATCATTGAATTGTTATATCGGTCCAGATCGATGGATCGTTACGCCCCTAACATACAGTCTGTTAACAGATTTCTCCTCCATTGTTGTTGTTCAGCTCTTCTACGTGTCAGATGTGACGGTTTGTCTTCGTGGTATTTGTTCCTCCTCCACTGTGACTGAACAGCTGAAGTGACATTATGAGCCAAAGTTAAACATTTTTCAACTCTTGGTGCTCCAAAACAAAACGCCCAATTCTGTGCAGGATCCAAGTGTTGGTAGCGTAGCGTAAATACATGGTGCTCCCATTGCTGCAGGGCATTAAAAAAAATACGCTGGCCTCAGGAAATAAACGCTTCCATAGACACAGCCTGTTATTATAATGTGTTGCAGCATCAGATTCAGTGTGTATTTACAAAAAAAGTGTATCAGTTTGAACATTAAATGTCTTTGTACAGTACTCCAGCATTTTACACAGTGTCCCAACTTTTTAGAATCAGGGTTCGTAAGTTAAGAAACTCAACAGAGGAGCTGTTTGTGTTCTCTGTCTCTCTTTGTTCATGAAACACTTTGACATCAGTTATGTGTCTGTCATTAATTCTCGAGGTGAACAGAGTGATGCTGTCAGAGACCTAAAAACCACAGAATGGGAAACATTTTGTTTTAAGAGAATGATGAAAATATCAATAGCTATAAATAACATATTTGAAATCTTCATAAAAGACATGAAAGACCACATTTTATAGAAAACCTTAAATCTTTTATCGCAGCTCTCTCACTCACTGAACATGTCAAAACTAACTGCCATCTCCAGGGCAGTAAATGAATGAATGAATACATAATTGTTATTTTGGTCACACATCAGGAGAAACAAAGAAATTTTCTCACAGTCAGCAAGTGAAAAAGGAACAGGCTGAAGAGCACGGCTCATTTTTGCCTTTCCTTTATCAACCAAAGGATAAACAACAATAAATCAATCAACCAAAGAAAGGAAATAAATAATCAAATACATCATACTCTAAATTATAATACTCAGATCTTTGACATTTTAATCACAGTTTCAACTCAGCGCTGAGTCCCTTCCACAGTTTGACGACCAACGCTGAAACACATCTGTATTTTACATTCTCACTTTACGTGTTTCATAAATAAACAAACCTCTTAAATTATAATTTCCTTCTTTTAATCTAAAACAATTCAACACAGACAGGAAGGTTTTTGTTCACAACTAGAAAAAGTGTTTCCAGTGTTTTTAAATACACAGTGTGGACACTCACAGATGCCTGATGCCATAGACAGTTGATAATCAGCTTTATGTTTTATTCTGAGGGCTCTTTTCTCAAGTTTAATTAAAGGGTGTGTTTTTATTTTATATGCATTTCTCCATATTTCAGCACAGTCGGACAGATATGGAGATACAAGGCAACAATACAATGTACACAAACACAAGCTTTTAACAGCTCCCGTGTCTTTCAAAGAACAGAAATAGATGTAGATAGTTCAGTATGTTCGATGTGAAGCTTCTAACAAAGTTTATGATCTATAATCACGCCCAAAGTTTTGTTGCACATACTCTTTCAATCTCAACACCATTTAAGTTCAGTTTTATTTCCCAGCAGCCCTGATGCCACCCAACACCATAAATTCTGTTTCATTTTCATGTAGTGAGAACTTAATAACAGCAAACCATTTTCTCAACGTGATCAGTTCCCTTTCTACTGTTTTTAAAAACTCTTTCATGTCCTCACCTCAACAAAATAAGTTTGTATCATCAGCAAATGTTACAAATTTCAACATGTTAGATACCTCATAGATATCATTTAGATATAATATAAACAACTCCAAATACTGAACCTTGCGGGACACCACAGGTTACTCCTCTAAAATGTGATTCATAAATATTGATTTTTACAAACTGATACCTGTAATTTAAAATACTTCTGTACCAAAGTTGTGCAACACCTCATTTCTGAAGACACACAGTAACCTTGAATAAATCTCACGTCCTTAATGAAAAATGACTCGGTGTTGATGAGAGATCGGCTGTGACGTGACTGAGTGTGTTCGTGCTGTTTCAGATTCGAACCCGAGCGATCTCGGCTAAAGGGATGACGCTGGTCAGTCCTCTGCAGCTGCTGCTGTTCGCCTGCAAGAAGATCAACTCCAACGGAGACATCGTGGAGCTCGACGAATGGTGAGAAAACACACGATGAAAGTCTGACGTGTTTTTATTATCACACTAATCTGCGGAGTGAATTCTCAGCTGATGGATGAATCGTTTGGTTTTTGAAACATCAGAAAATAATGAAAAATGGCAACGAGGTAAAGATATCAAATGTTTTTATATCTGAGCGACAGTGCACGTAACGAGTCATCTGGGGGGTCTTGGTTTGAAACGTTGGACACAAAGATTCGTCAGCAAATATTGAGTATTTTGGTTTCATATTTTAGTCTCGTTTGTAGAGGCCGTTAGTTTGAGTGTAATTACATGTGATGATATTTAATGATTGTCATCAAACCGACCTAAGGACTCAGTGTCCCGCAGGAAGTGAGTGATGACCTTTCACAATAATGTGTGCAGGATCAAGCTGAGGATTCCTCACGAGGTGGCGGGTGGTATCGCAGCCCTGCGCGCCGGACTGGAGGCTCTGGTGGTGGAAGTGACCAAAGACCCAGAATACATCAGACAGATGGACCAGACCAACCAGCAGCTGCTGAACCTCATCAGACTCATGTCCAAACCGTCCGCAGCTGGACTCAACATGATGGCCAGCAACCAGAGGTACACACACACACACACACACACACACACTCACACACACACTTCTGTGGTTTGGGTGACACTGAACTCCTTGAATAGTTGATCTGTGAGTTTAACCATTTAGCGATGTCTGTTGAAACGCTGTCAGGCTAACATTAGCTAACGTTAGCTAACGTTAGCTAACATTAGCTGCTATTGTCTACATACAGTGGCATAAAAAGGTTTGGGCATCTCTGGTCAAAATTTCTTTTACTGTGAGTGTTAAGTGAGCAGAAGATGAACTGAAGATGACTCGTCCGTGAAGGTCGTATTTGTACAGGTGTGCTAACGATGAACAAGCCAGAGCCCTAACGAGCTCATTAATGTCTGAGATCCTGGGAAGAGTTGTCTGACAGCTCCAGTGTCTCGGGGTGGCCAGACTGTTGCATGTCACTGTACTGGGTCAACTGGTCCCAGAGGTCTGGTGAAACGCTCTCAGGCTAACGTACCAGCTAACGTCAGCTCACTGTCACTGATTCTCCTCCGTCTTCTCTTCACAGGATGGGAGACGGTCCACGACCTCCAAAGATGGGACGCTTCGACGGAGGTGGAGGAGATGGAGGAGGCTACCGCGGAGGAGGCTACCGAGGAGGAGGAGGGGGAGGTTACCGAGGAGGGGGAGGGGGAGGTTACAGAGGAGGGGGAGGGTATGGAGGTGGAGGAGGGTACAGGGGAGGCGGGGGTTACAGAGGAGGAGGAGGAGGAGGATACAGAGGTGGTTATGGAGGAGGAGGAGGGTACAGAGGAGGTGGGGGCTACAGAGGAGGAGGAGGAGGAGGATACAGAGGGGGGGGAGGAGGAGGAGGATACCGAGGAGGAGGAGGAGGGTATGGAGGAGGTTATTAACATCTCTGGAAGTGATGAAGAGAGTTGATGTAATCTGGGTTTTTTTTTTCTTAAGATTAGTGACCGCACACGTTGTTATTGTTGCTGTTGTTGTTGTTGTTGTTGTGAGGACAAATGTTAGTTATCAGGTCAGAGAACATGATGATGATGATGATGATGATGATGATGATGATGATGACACAGATGGAAACTCTTGTTATTTGAGCTGTTAAAACCAACATGTGATCTTGTCCCTTCTGTTTGTGGAGCTGCTGTCAGTCACACAGTAAACAGTTCAGTTTTTATCTCGTCTCTCAAACTGTTTGCTGTTTTGTTTTTTTTTACAAACAATAAAATCTGTGTGAAATGTGAAAATAAAAAAGAGGAATGATTCAAACATTTTAAAGTTTATTCTGAGATTTATTTTCACTGCTGCAGAAAATCAACTCAGACAGTTGCAGCGGGTGAACAGCAGGGGGCGCCGCCGGTCCTCTGGAACATCAAGACCTTAACGTAAAATGTTGAAACGTCCACAGGTTTGTCTGCTGGAGGAGAATAAACTCAGTGTTAACGTCCAGATTTACACAGACTGATCTTTAATGTGTTGCATTTATGACCTAAACTGACACCAGCTGCAGTTACTGACAGTGGGAAAAATGAGAACGTGAGCAGAGAAGCTGATAAACCTCAGCTCCCTCTTCACCATGATGGCCCGGCGCAGTGCCCGCATCACTGCAGACGCCGATCCATCTCACGCTCCATTCTCCCCTCACTCATCAACAAGACCCCGAGATACTTGACCTCCTTCTCTTGAGGCAGTAACTCTCCCAACCCAGAGGGAACAATCCACCGTTCTCCAGCAGAGAACAATGACCTCAGATTTGGAGGTGCTGACTTGCTTCACACCGCCCCAGGTCATGCTGGAGGTCACGGTGAGATGGAGCCAACAGAACCACATCATGTCTGAAAAGCAGAGATGTGACTCTGAGGTCCCCAAACTGGACCCCTTCCTCCCCCGACTGCACCCTAAGATCCTGTCCATGAATATCACAAACAGGATCAGTGACAAGAGACGACCCTGGTGGAGCCCAACACCCACTGAGAACATGTCTGACGACTTCACACCCAGTATGTGGACGCAGCTCTCACTGTGGTCATACAGGGACCTGATGGCTCATAGCAGCAGGCCTGGTGCCCGGTATTCTGGCATCTGTGAAGTGCTGTAAAGTTTAGTTGATTCAAACACACATTACTAATACTATCACTATAATTCTTTCCCCACAAATACAACATGCTAATGTTATTAGCACAAGCCTATGGCATTTTACATTGTATAAATTAGCCTAGCAGCTAGCAGAGATTTGCTCTGCTCATATTTCAGCCAGGATAAATCACACACAGTGTGTGGAGGCTTTATTGTCTTCACAATTTATTGTTTCTTATCTGTGAAATTAAAGTAAATCAAAGCTTTGTTTCCACTGAGGGAAATGGTTTCAGCTTACAGAGACAGACAGGAGGTCTGCGTCACTGTGACACTGTGGAGTTACATTTCTGGGGAGGTGCACGTCAGGTTACAGTGTAGGCTCTACACAGAAGTATGCATTCCAGCTTAAAGCAGGTGTGAATGCAGGACGTTAACTTGTAGTGTGGTATCAGTACTTTTACTTGAGTAAAGGATCCGAGTACTTCCACCTGAACAGGAAGTCTCTATGAGAGTGACTCTACACGTCCCCTCTGTGTTTGTGTTCATGTGTCCACGCTGGAGACGTCTCCTCAGTGTCTCTGTGACTTAATGACAATGTTTTACTGCTGCTGTCTGCAGAGACTGGTCTTTGCATCTTATTACTGGACTCATTTACATTCATTCATTCATTCATTCATTCATTCAGCCTCTGTCGTCCACACTGACAGGATTCACCTCTGACCTCTGACATCATCACAGCTGTACTCTGAAAGTAAATGTGTTGATGAAGATCTAATCAGAGCTGAACTGTGTGTTGATGAACAAACTCTTCATCGCCTCCTCGTTATCTGTGATGTTGTTTCACTTCAGGTCCAAAAGTCACGTTTACCGTCTCACTTCTCACCTCATGAAATTAATTCATCCTGGAAGAACATTTAAAAACATGTCTTCATCTAAATCACCACAGGTCCTTCATGTGTCCCTTAATTTGAAAAACCAAACCCTTTAAAACATTTTAATTTGAAAAGCTCTTAACAAACAGTGACCTACATTTGAATGGTTTATGAATGTGAAATATTTGAAACAATACTGACAAAAAAATCACAAATTAGGCCAAAAAAAAAAAAAAAAAAAAAATCTGTGAAACAATTTTATTCGTTAAATCTTCATGTCATGTGTCTGTTCACAGGGACCTGTGCTGTGGAGATGCTGTCTGTATGGAAGCTCATTTCTGCCAAGAAAATAACACCAAATTAATAAAAAGTTAGAAATTTTAAAAATGAATAAATAAAAATACTCAACATTTTGACTTCTTAAAGCAGAATGATATGAAACAACAATAAATCATAAACACAGTTACATCTATGGTGGCCCTGAGGGTCAAAACATGGTGGCATTTTAGAAAACACAACATTTAAAAAGAAACATTTTAGAAAACAATGGGCCTCATTCACTAATATCTGTGCAAAAATGTTCTTACTCTCTTGCGCAAAATCACCGTCAGATTCATGACACGTGCGTACCGGCCAATTTTGTTCTCACCACCGTGCGTATGTTAGTAAATCAGAATCATTCTAAATTGGCAGGCGCGTGTCCGCGATCTGCAATCAGCATACTACCACGCCCCCATTTCTCCATATAAGGAAACCGCTTGCCTAGAGTTGATTCATGAATGAAGGAAGCGGTTCGCGAGGAGAGAAGTAGTAAATTTCACAGTTTGTTAGAAGCGATGGCGCCGGGTCTTACAGGAATGCCAGGGGTCATTGTACGATTGTGGAGGACACAGCATGCCAGGATGATCTTGCACACCTTCTCAGGAGTATAAAGTATTTTGCCACCGGCCGTATCTGATCCAAACACATCCAACGGCCCTTAAGCACGCCAAAAGTGCGCTCTACGGCGCGTGTGTGGGCATGTATGTTATTATAGCGCACCTCTTGAGGGGTTTCAGGGTTTGCGTATGGTGTCATCAGCCATGTTTTAAGGCCATATGCCCGGTCACCCAAACAATATAACATTTTAACATTAACGGAATAGAGACTTACTGAAAATACTAACTTAAAACAATTGAAATAAAAGACTAGAACAAAAGATGCTCACCAACAAGCCATCCACTTCTCACAGCCCCTGCCTCCAAACGCATTCCCACTGTACTGTTTTGCAAAATAAATGAGTCGTGGGTGCCTCCTGGCCAGCGGGCCACAGCCTTAAGGATATGGCAGTCGGCATTACAGATCATCTGCACGCTGATGGAGTGATAGTTTTTCTGTTCATGTTATTGTTAATATTTTAATTGTCACAATGTGTGTCAGTTTCATGGTAATTTAATCCATTTGGCCAATATATGAGTAAATTAATTATTTAAAAAAAATGTTAATTAAATCTCTTTTTCATGAATGTGGTTTTATAGACTCTGCATGTACTTAAAAGGTATGTTTGCATTTTCTAAGTCAGTTCGGCCTTCCTCATTTGTGCGTACGCATGGTCTGAGGCAGTTCTAAATTTGTTCGCAGAGTAAGAACAAATTCGGGTAAGAAAATATTGACGAATCCCGGATTTGTGCGTCAAACGATCGTACGCACAGTTTAAGCACAGATTTGTGCGTACGCACTGTTTGTGAATGAGGCCCAATGTTTCACAAAACAACATTTTAGAAAACACAACAACGACTCAGAGAAGACTGCATTTTAAAAAAACACTATTTCAAAGACACGACATTTTAGAAAATACATTTCACAAAATATAACATTTCAAAACACGACAATTTATAAAACATGTTGCACAAAACATTTCACAAAACAGAACAATTAAAAAAAAGTTTTACAAAACAACATTTCACAAAACAGAACATTTTATGAAAACAACAAAATTTCAGACAACACAACATTTTAGAAAACATGACATTTCAAAAAAACAATTTGATAAAACACAAAAACATTTTGGAAAACAACATTTCAAAACCCAACATTTTTAACAAACAACTATTTAGAAAACATGACATTTTAGAAAATACATTTCACAAAACATGACAATTAAAAAAACATTTTACAAAACAACATTTCGCAAAACAACATTTTACAAAAACAACAAAATTTCGGACAACACAACATTTTAGAAAACAACCTGACATTTTTTAAAAAACAACAATTTAGAAAACACAACATGTTAGAAAACGTAACGTTTCACAAAACACAAAGATATGTCACAAATCATGTCGACAACATTTAGTGTTGTGTTTCCTGAAGTGTTTGTTGTGTTTTCTAAAATGTTGTTTTGTGACATGTCGCGTGTGTTTTATGAAAAGTGTTTTCTAAGATGTCGTAGCGTTTTGTGTCTGTGGGCCTCCACAAGTTTCTCTTGTTTTAATTATTGAAGAAATGTTGATTAAAGGTTAAAAAGTTGTTTACTGAGGTCTGACACTGTGATTGATTGATTGATTGGTATTTGATTGATCCCAGTGTGACAGCAGATGTGAGCTGGTGCTTTGTTCTCTCTGTGACCCGTTACTTGTGTCTGAAGGAGGCCTCTGGATAATGTCGGGACTTTGCAGGATTGTCCTGGAGTTGTGTCACGGAAGTGGCCGGAGTGTCCTCTGCGCCTCAGACCTGCGCAGTAGCGGACTGGGTGTAGTCTGGAGTCCCGTCTTTTCCTGCTGGAGTTTGGAGTTGGTGCATGGCGGCGGACACAAAGAGCTGAGGCCCGAGCTCACACACACTCTCACACACACACTCACACGGCACAAGCAGCCGGGACACGAGCTCTGGACGCGGCCTGGAGCGAAGACAATCCGCCGCTGCATGTTCTCACTCGGTGGCTGAAGCTGTTTCCTGTCGGTAACCGGATCGTTACCGCAAACTTTTGGACAAGTTCAGGGAGAGTTTTTTTTCTTGTGCTCGGAGACGGAGAGGACTGAAAAAATGCGGAGTGTGATCCGGGCTCTGGTGGCTTGGAGCTGGGTGGCGGTGGTGTGTGTGCGCGCTGCCATGGATGAGTGTTCGGACGAGCAGAACCGAGCGCAGCGCTGCATGCCCGAGTTCGTCAACGCCGCTTTTAACGTCACCGTGGTGGCGACCAACACCTGCGGCTCTCCGCCCGAGGAGTACTGCGTGCAGACCGGCGCCACCGGGGTCACCAAGTCCTGCCACATCTGCGACGCCCGGGACCCCAGGAACCACCACAGCGCCGCGGACCTGACCGACTACAACAACCAGCAGGATACCACCTGGTGGCAGAGCCAGACCATGCTGGCGGGCATCCAGTACCCGAACTCCATCAACCTCACCCTGCACCTCGGTAAGATCCCCCGATAACATCCCCTTCCCTCCGCGCGAGCTCCACCGCGCCGAATCTCACTGGGAAAATGTACAATTTAAGGTTTTCTCCTTTGTTGATAACATCATCCACACAGATCAACACTTTTACCTATATTTTATCATTTCTATCGAACCACTCTTTTATTCGGCACATACCCATTTACCCTCAAACCATACTTTCTGAAGTAAATTCCAACTTCTCAGAGCAGGTTTAAGCGCTGCCGCCTCACGTCTAGTTCACCTCAGCGGGCAGCAGTAACGCTGCAGAAGGGTTTGGTCTGAAAAGTTTACATATTCAGCGGCTTGTAAGTGAAGCAGCTGTGTGCCGAATAGAAGACAACGTTGTCACAGTTGAGAAAACACACGCAGTTGTGACATTAAGGGTGAGCACGGTTTCAAACAAGAGGGAACACTTTAAATTGGTGAAAGTTTTCTAAGGAGTCTGGTTTGACTTTCTGTTGTGCGGAGAGAAAAGCGGTTGCTTAACTCTTTCGGAGACGGTGCTCAGCTGAGCTTTTTTCTTACATGAAGGAAATGTGAAAGTCAAGCTGACAGAAGAATCTGAGCGAGTTTTGTGTCTGAACTTTACAAGCAGGTTAAAGTTTGAGCTGGAAATCAGTGATGTAACTTTGGGAATGAGGGATTTTTGCTGCCAGCAGTGTATCATGGAGGACATAGTTTTCATTGTTGGGGGTGGAGTGTGTGTGTGTGTGTGTGTGTGTCTGTGTCTGTGTCTGTGTGTAGGGGGTTGCAGCTATTTTCTGACCTGACTGTAGGGTCAGCCTCTCCCAGCAGCACAGTTGGAGCTCTGCTGCTCCTCCATCACACTCACTTTGTGATTTCCAGCGTTTGTTTGACAAACTGTTGAGACTGCGAGCTGCTCTGAGCAGGAGGTGTGAGGTTAGCAGACTGGTGTCCATCACCTCCACTCCGAGGTGTCCTCTGAGGACAGCTGGTCTCTCAGTGTCTCCTCGGGGACTGAAACAAGTGGAGTTGTCCTCATGAATCAGTTCCAACACATCAGTCAGTAGCAGAGGAAGTCTGCAGGCGGACGTATCGCATGAAAGTGTCTTGACTTTGGAAACAGTCGTTTGACGAGATGTGAGGAGGCGTTTGTTTTCTACAGTTACACATGATGAGTTTTAAAGGTCGATACTGAAACTTTGAAACTGAAATGATCTTAAGCTGAGTCCAGTTTTGACCCAAAAAAGTCACATTTCAATCAAAATGCCAAAAGTTTTAAACGTCCAGCTTCTCAAATGTGACGATAAATTTAACGTCTTCTGGTTTTGAACTTTTCGTTGGACAAAATGAGACATTCCCGTTTGGTTTGAGGGAATTTTAAAAGTGAGAAAAAGTAATTTTTAAACATTTTCTGACATTTTTAAACCAAATGATTCCTGGAAACTTCTTCAGATGAATCTGCAATGACATGATTTTCACTCGCCGCCCTGCGACTAAAATACATCAGATAAAACACACTGTCTTCGGTTTGTGGCGTTCTGCTGGGAGACTCTGGACTCTCTGAATATTTCTATCATCCTGCCTACAGCCTTGCAGAGTTCACTAAATGGTCTTTTTCTGGAGCTTTCAGTCACACATCATGGTCCTCCTCTAGCCCAGTCGTCTTGAGTGGTTACGTAAAAGAAAAAATGGAAAAATAAAGTGTCACTGTGCGACCTTTCATAAACTTCAGACTCTGCTGATGAAGGTCACAGCATGTGACTAAAAACTTAACAAGAAATCTAGTAAGTGGGCCTTGAGTTGAGAATCTGTCAAAGAGGAAGTGGTTTTTATCGTCGTGGTTGCAGCAGCTGCCTTGTTAGTCAGATTAAATGCTCAGGAATGTGAACAGGGTTTGGTTGGTGACGAATAAACACTCTTCGGTTTGTGGTGTTCTGCTGAGACACTCTGGACTCACTGAATATTTCTATAACCCTGCCTGCAGCCTTGCAGAGTTCACTTACTCGCCTTTTCTGGAGCTTTCAGTCACACATCATGATCCTCCTCAGAGTTTTCATGGAAGAAACGACCAAACACTTGCTGCTTTCCTCAGTTTCATATCTCAGCAAACTGAATATTTTTGGGTGTTAAATGTTGGTCAGACAAACTGAAACCTCTGAAGACGTCACCTTCGATTGTGTCGGACATATTTTTCATATTTGAAACGTCTTGTAGTCTGTACGAAGAATCCAGTCAGTCTTTCTGTGCAGCTCTTGTTGCAGCTCTGTTAGCCGTCGTCTTAGTTTTCCTGGAGCTCCGAGCCGGCCTTTTAAAAATACCTGTCTATTTGTGAAGCCGGTGAGCCTTGGGCCTCCCAGCAGCACTACTGTTTTTAACAGTGCTTGACATTCCTGAGTGTTTCAGTCATGCTGCCGGTCGGAGCTGAGCTGCTGTCTCTGTAGCCTCAGGTACTGAAGTCTGATTAGAGCTCAGCGCCTCGTTTTCAAATGGAAATGCGTTTAATTACACGCTGAGGTTTCTCTCCTCGGGGCCGAGTTTTCATTGTTGGGTCGCTGTTTGCTTGATAATTAGAGCTCAGGCTTTGTTCTGCGGCGGACGGATGATCTCAGAGGTGTAAAGGCAGAGCAGCTCAAGATCTGATTCAGCAGATCTGGAAGATAAAACTTAATTTATCCTGCGGGGAACCGTGGTGAGTCTGAACCAGTGCAAATGAAATCAACATTTTAAAAAGCAGCTGGCGTCTGAGGTCGAAACAGGAAGTGAGCGTCTGATCGCCACCAGCTGTGTCGTGGTCAGTTTGGTCACCGGTGGGAGAATCTGCTCCACACAGGAAGTCCAGAACTTTCCTCAGAAAGCTTCATGACAGATTTCTGGGTAGCGGAGTCGTCGTGGTTAAACTGAGAGTTTCCCTCCAGCTGTTGTCATCGTGTGATGACATCGTTCAGCGAGATTTCCTAAATATTTGTCGTCTGGACAGGAAGTGGTTCTGCAACAGTTTGCTGAAAGTTTAAGAGCTCGTTGAGTTTCATGTTTGCATCAAGAGTTTGTTTCCTGTTTGGGAGACGGTAAATATTTAGTCCTTTTCTGCCAAAATGATTTTTAACAGACGAACCTCAGGCGGTCAGTGGAGGAGGAAGACCCCCCGACGATGAAGGACACGAGTGCTTCAATCATTAACTCTTTGGCCAAGTATTTCATCTAAGTTTCCTCTGTTGTCACGTCGGTGAGGGCAGGCTTTGTTTCGTTGAGGCGGTCAGCCTCTGCAGTGACATCATGAGGAAATCCAGAGACAGATTTAGTCTGTCTATACAACATTTTTACAGGACGGATGTGTCGGGGCAGGAAGTGACCTTTAAAGTCGAGACACCTCAGGTGAAAACAGTTTTTTCATGCGCTGGTCAATTTTGAGTTTTTGGGTCATTTTGCTTCCATAAGGCGTTTCTGTCTGAATAAAGAAAATGTTCAAAATACACATTTAGGTTTATTTAGTTCTGATTTCTGCAAAATAATCTCCCGTGAGCTCTAAATAAATCTCCACTTCAGCAGCACTTTAAACGTTCCAGTTTCCTGTTTATATTCTGAGCAGTGTGTTCATGTGTCATATGTCACAGCCTGAGTTATAGACGATTTTATTCCTAAAGACATGGTGAAGTGTTTAATGGCTGTTGACAGTGTTGTCTGATTTATGGAGTGATAAAAAGAGATGTCCTGAATTCCCTCAGTGGAAACCTTTGACACGAATATGTCAACAAAATGAAACAAGAATTTTGAACCTGAAGTTTCTGTTCTGGAAAAGTAGAAATACAAAAGAATAATTGTCTTAATTCAAGTGTTCAACTGGAAAATATCTGTTAGTTAAGTTTTTCCATTTCACCTGTAACATGTCTCCTTAAATCATGAAACATCAGATCAGAGTCAACATGATCATGAATATGACAAAATATTCAGTTGTTTCCAAAAATCTCTTTGAGCTTCGACCTCACGCAGCAGTAACCAAACATGTCTCCACCCAGAAGGAAAGTGTTGGCGTTGTATATTTCTGCAGGTCACAGATACATTGGTACGTTTCAGACGTATCACATCAACGTTCCCAAAGTGACGCAGTATATTGGAGGAGGAGGCTGCGGACCAGCGACTGTTCAGCACCAACAGACAACACAATCATGATGTTTTGTCACTATGATCATGGCGTTTGTGCCTAAACCTCACCACACGTTAACCACAGTGTTGCTGGAACATTAAGAAACGTAAAGTTTCAATGTATTCGCCACATATCAACATAGAAATGTCACGTGACCATGGTTTGCTGAAACGTACGCCAACATTTATTCTGGTGTTTCGGTCGTTCACATCTTTGAGTCAGTGAGTTTATGTGAATCTCTGAAGCTGAGTCTTAGCGTCTCTGCTGCTGTGTGCATGATGAAGCTCACTCTGAGGCCTAATCTCAGGAAACATGATGTGTTTGTGGAGCTCAAGTCTGGTCGTGTTTCTGTGCGCTGGGGCTCTTTGATGCGGCAGGAAGGCGACGTGTCCGGACTCGTCTCAGACTGCAGAGTCGAGTCCGACATGAAAGACCCACACAGAAGAAACCTGCAGATGGACGGAGAGCGGCCTCCTGCATTCATCTGTGTTCAGCAGACACAGGAAACCAGCACTCACGCTCACACTACAGACGTTTACTAGTGTCAGTGGGAGTTTCTGCACCGACACTCAACAACTCACCCCACAAAGTAACTTCATCATTTCACAGAAGAAACCCAAGTTTTAAAATGTTAAATGCAGCTGCACAACGTACAGCCGAAAACCAGCAAGACTTTGAGTGAAGTCTGGTGTGAACAGAAAGAAGTAGTGAGCACGTTCAGAGCGGAGGAGTCGGTCCTGAACTGAAATCTAAACAAACACGTCAGTCACCTAGACTCAGGACAGAGTTCATGAAGACAACACTCATGAATCATTAAACACTGCAAAGCTTCAGACGCAAAGTTGTTCCCAATGAGGCGTCATTAAAGATCAAAT